GAGGCCGCCGCCATGCCATCGGAGCATCCCGATCGTGCAGCAACGTCGGCGTGGTCGAGAGAATCCATGTTTCTAGTGGATCGGGAGAGACGGCCGGTTCTCTCCTTCTCTTTGTACACGTGGGCATCTAATATAAACTAGTAAACTTGGGCGCGCCCAAGCGCGCGTAGGTTCAACGCGACTGTATTTGGTGTGGCCAAGGTACTTGTAGCTAGGGCGGTCGATACCAATGGCCCTGTTCGGCTTATTCATATTCAGCTTATTTTTTTAGCCGAAACAGTGTTTTTCTCTCACAATAATTCAGCCACAACAGTGTTTTTCAGTCAGTTTCAGCCAAGTTCCAGACCAGCGAACGGGGCCGATATCTTTATACGATAGCGATTCTCGGTGAGTCAGTATTCTATCATATTTCTTAATTTAACTATTCTTTGCCGACCATAATACGGTGCTGAAAGAAATTTTAAAATCAAAACTTTGTAAACGGCATTAGTTAAAAACGGTAATAAAACGATATCACTTTTACTAAAACGATTTCCGGTAAACGAGAATTTCCATTTCCGTTTTCATCCCTACTTGTATCATTTGGTGGTATGTAGTTGCTAAAATACTACAAGACGGATTATATACTGCACATGGATGTGCTATTAAATACGGAACGGTCAAACGTTGAGTTAAAAGTCAATGGCGTCATACATTTAAATGCGGAGGGAGTATTATTATTTAAGCGACAGATAGTAATAGTATATAGAAGTTGCAACTGCTGCTGTGTTGATTATATACTGCACATGGACGTGCTATCATGCATAGACAGGTCGCTATGTCTGACATATATATTACGGGAACTGCTCCAATACTCTTTTTTTTCTAAAAATTATACGTATCTTAAAGCAGTCCACCCAATTAATTAAATAAATATTTTCTAATTATTATCCATCTAGGTCCCATATGGACCCGGCCCTTCCAAGCCCAGACCGTACCTAGCGCATATCCAGTCCATTTGTTTTTGTCCTCGAGATTTCCTCGGTCTTCACGGTGGCGGACCTCCACGCACGGTCTCTCTAGCCCAGGTCGATCCGATCTCCATCTACCGTTTCGTGCGAGAAGATAGGTGTCTGCCGCTGTCTACTGCGGTACTGCCCGTGTGGACACCACGATGGCTGCATAGTGGACGGCCGCGCCGCCGCCGAGGCAGCACCCTCTAAATCCATGGCCTCCGTCGCACCGCCTGGTGCTGGTAACGAGTTGGACCTAGTGGACTGCAACTTAATCAGAACGTAGCACGCCAGTGCGGCATGTGACTTATTTGGTTTAAGCTTAGTCGAGTCATGCATTAGTAACTCATAAAGGACACTGAGGGAGATGTAGATCAGATCAACTTGGGCTGGAGAGATTGTGCGTGGAGCTCTGCCGCCGTGGATACCTGGTCCACTCTAAGACGGATGCGCTAGGAAAGAACTCCGAACAAAGGGGATCCGGACTGGAGGACGAAAACAAATGGACAGGATTTGGGCTGGGCATGGTCTGGGCTTGGAAGGGATCCATGCGGGATACAGATAGATAATATAAAAGAAGATTATATTTAATTAATTTGATGGGATGCTTTGAGATTCGTGTGATTTTAGAAAGAGGAGTATCGGAGCAGATAAGCGATTGGTAGCAGAACTTTGATGCTAACTTATATTATATGGGGCACTGGATGAGCAATGAAGTTTATCGACTGTCCGATAGGCCAAGATCTGATAAGCCGATGTCTTTACGCCCTATTTGTTTGGGCTTGTTTGGCTGATAAGCCATGGCTAAAAGTATTGTTGCCTGATTTGGTGTGAGAGAAAAATACTATTCGTTGGCTGAAAAAATACAGCTTATAAGCTCAAGAAACCCAAGCGAACAGGGCGTTAGTTGTAGATGCACTTTTGCTTGATGGAATTGTTTTTGATGAATACAAGAGGGGTTGCCCCTAATGCCTTATAGTGGGCACAGTCCATTGTTGTGGCTAAATTTTAGTCCAGCCCATTTTATATTTTAAAGCTTTTTCTGGTCCATATTTGAATTTTATTGATTCTGGCCCAACCTAACCTGCTTAGACTGAGCCCGCATAAGGCCTTTTGGGCCAGCTCAGTATTGTTTGCTGCTATTTAGGGCCCATATGATTTTTTTTTATCAGCCCATATTTTTTTCTATGCTGTTTAGGGCCTACCCAAAACTCATTTGGGCCAACCCAAAAAGCACTTAATTGGGCCAACCAAACAACACAGTTTGCATAAAAAAAACATATTCATACATTCAATCCAACAGATATGACAATACACAGATCTTGCATTTCAAATACAGTCAATGCACAAATCTTGCATTTCAAATAACATCCATTCCACCAGCATTACATTAACTGTTGAGTCTCCAAAATCAGAACCTTCATTACAGGACCAACTGATAATGACCATAAGTTCTCACAGCCAGAATACACAAAAGGTTCACATGACCAGCCAAGTTCTGGGGTTACCACACTCCAAAATCACATACATGGCTATAGCTTTGGTCACAGGTAGGTCTCCATATCAAAATGACAGCCAAGACACTAATCTGAGAAAGTTTTGAAACTTACTGTGGTGCATTAGATGGTGCAGAGTTGCCAGCAAAGAAAGAACGAAAGAAACCATGCATCTCACTTATTTGGTTCTTCGCCTAGCAGTCTCTTCTTCCACCTTCTTTCTTGCATCCCTCTCCTCCTCTACTTGATTCTTTAGATCATCCATCTGAACTCGAACTTCTGCTGCTACATCCTTCTCAGTAACTAGTTCACTCTCAAGCTCTTGTACGCGCTTAGCAACTTCAGCGGCTTTAGCACTTCTTTTCATTGCTGCAGACTCAATGCCAATATTTTGAAGAAATTTTGAGGTTGGTAGAACTTGAGCTATAGCTTGGATTAGAGTCTTTGCAACTTGCCCTTCTTGTGGTGCTTGAGCAGTGATGGCCTCCATTTCAGCCTAGCATAGAAAAAAAAGCAAGTTAGGTTCCTCACATTCCAATTTTTGTCCATCATAGTACAAAGAAGACAAGAAGATGTACTCACAATAGCTTTTTGTGCGTCCTCACTGTAACCTGTCTTGCTGCTGCAATGTGTGGCCTTGAAGTAGTCAATCGCAGTGGGTGGGTCATCCTTAAATTTAGACTTCTGAAACATGTAAACAACTGTTTAAACATTTGAAAAAGAAAGTTAACAGCACTTGAAACAATAATTTAACAGCAATGTGTGTCCTTGCTATCAATCAGTACTTCACTGCTGGTTAGCTAGTTAAGACACATTTATTTATTAGTTCTGCGAATAATTAGAAACCATGCAAGGAACTCCAGGGGCAGTAAGCAAGTGTAGAAGATTTTACAGAACATATGGCCGATTTTAATTGATACAACTGTGCAGATAATTCGCTGGTAACTTACATAGACAAAATGACACTTGCACATGGGCTGAACATGCAGAAAAGAAACAACCCAGATCTAACAGGTTATATGCATTTATTTAGTATTTACTAGTTCATAATCTCAACATGAAGAAAAGAAACCCAGATCTGTACAGGTTATATGAAACAAGCTGGGGCTGCTGCAGCCTACCCTCACTAGCTACTGTAATATAACTATCCAACTGTTAATCAATACTTTAGTATTGGTAGTGGTTAGCTAGTTGAGGCACTAGTTCATTATCGGAACATGCAGAAACAAAACGATAGCATTTGCTGGCCTACTTTAAATAAAGAGTAAAATACATCGGAGGTCCATTAATTTTCGGTGAAGTGTCATTTAGGTCCATCAACTTTGAAACTGTATTTTTTGTCCATTAACTTTCGTTTTGTGTTATTTAGGTTCATCAACTCTGAAACTGTATTTTTTATCCATGAACTTTTAAATTGATTCACCGCAGGATCACGCATGCACGTCGGCTTCGGCTGCAGTACATGAGCGGCTGCAGTACAGTAGTATGCCCTATAGACGGGTCCTGTTGCGTACGTGTGCCTGCGTGTACCTGTATCCTCTGGCCGGTGTGTGATGGCATCAAGTCAGCGCTCGATGGCCGGTGTGATGGCATCAAGCAGGCGGGTGGCCACACACCGCCACACGCCGACGCCGCTCCCGTGCTTGTGACTTGCATTATATTGGCAGCCGTACGTACGTGTGTATGTAGAAGGATCGGACGACACTCGCTAGCAGTACTACGTACGTACTAGCTCCTCTCGATCGTTCTTTAATCATGGATGGCACGACCGCACGACGTGTCGACGAAGAGGATCGGACGGCCTATATACACTTATGCAGCCATGTATGTGAATGAATGTACGTACATTACATTTACATGCAGGCACACAATACGGCCGCCAACGCGTACACACGACGTATATATATATGTAGTACCACCCATATGGCCAGATATACACATACATACACGGTGGATGGCGATGGATCCTGTGTCCGTTCTCGGCTGCCCGGGCGCCCGGTACATCACATGGCAGGCAGGGGGCACGGCAGGGGCGTCTCAATTCTCATACGTGTAGCCGTGTCACTGTGCATATACACGTACACGTGCCCCGGCAACGCACGAGCGTATGTACGTGTACGTTTAGGGCGCGGGACGACGTACACTTCATGTTTATTAGCAGCTCCATTGCATGAATTGCGGCGCACCGGTACGGCACGTACAAACACCACGCACAACACACATCACACACGACAAGCAGCATGTGTGCAGGGGTAGTGTAAAATATACGACGCATGGCATGCCAGGCCGAGGAGAGACTGGCATGCAAACCAGTCGAAGCCAGTAGCCTAAAACAGTCGGAACCCCACACCAAAGCAGGGTGGTGCTTCAGCCAAGAACTGCTCGTGTCCACACGCTACGCCGGGGACGCCGCTCGGACCTCCGGTGCCGGGCTTATAACCGCGACGCCTCATCCTCTCAGCTACCACCCACTCACTCCACCCCCCTCTTCCCGGTGACGTGATCGTCAGCCATGGCCAACAGAGTCGCCGTCGCCAGCGTCATCGCCGCGGTGGGCATCGTGGCCGTGATCGGCACCATCGCCGCGGTGACCAGCACCAACAAGGTGGACGACAACGACGCCGCCGGCATGTACTCCAGCGTGGAGCTTTCCACGGTGTGCGCGTCCACACTGTACCCGCAGAAGTGCGAGCAGAGCCTGAAGCCCGTCGTGAACAACACCTCCGACCCGGAGGACGTCCTCAAGGCCACGCTCAACGTGGCGCTGGACGAGGTCGCCTCCGCCTTCCAGCGGTCCGCGCACATCGGCAAGGGCGCCACGGACAACCTCACCAGGAATGCCATGGACGTGTGCAAGAAGCTCCTCGACGACTCCACCGAGGACCTCAGGGCCATGGCAAGGCTCAAGCCCGAGGACGTGGTGCGCCACGTCAAGGACCTCCGGGTCTGGGTCTCCGGCGTCATGACCTACGTCTACACCTGCGCCGCCGGAGGAAGCCAAAGCTCTGAACGCCACCCTGGCGGGTGCGGGGCACGGCCGCCGGCTTCTTGGCTGGCAGATGGGCGAGGCCGAGGAGGTGACCAGCGGCGGCCGCGGGCTTCTGTCCGTCGATGACAAGCTGGGCGAGATCGCGGACGTGGCCCACGGCGCAAACAGCCGGCGCCTGCTTAGCACCTTGTGGTCTCAGATAACCAGCGCCCAGGGAGAGGACGTCCTCGCCCTCCAGAAAAAGCTGGGCGTGTCGCCCGATGACGAGACCGATCACGCTGCCCGGCGCAACCTTCTGTCGACCGAGCTCGAGAGCATCGCCAGCACGTCCGCCGAGGCGAACCGCCAGCTTCTCGCGGCGGAGGAGCTCCCTGACGAGCTAGCCGGCAAGCGCGAGCTGCTGTCCCGGACGCTCATGGGGATCGACGAGGCGGCCACCGAGGCCAAGCGCCAGCTTGATGAGGCAACGATGGAGGACACCATGTCCGGCGGCCATCCTGAGCACAGGGTACTGACCACGGGCCTCATCGGCAGTGGCGGAGCCAGGATGAGCACCTCAGGGGGGCTAATCAATAGAGATTTAGAACAAATGTCGAAGATTAACGATGAAATCACGTTTTTGTACAGTAATATCAAGGCAAAATCACTCTCACAGGGGCCTCCCCCCCGGGATCCGCCAATGCTCATCGGCACGTTCGACGAGATCCAAGACGGGCGCAGCCAGGTGCCGCCCGGCGACTTCCCCAAGTGGATGCCGGCCACCCAGCGGAGGCTCCTGCAGCTGCCCAGCCTGCAGAAGCCCAACAAAGTGGTGGCCCCGGAAGGGAGCGGCGACTTCAATACCATCACCGAGGCCATTATTGCCGCCGTGCCCAAGACCTTCGAGGGCCGCTTCGTCATCTACGTGAAGGCCGGCGTGTACAAGGAGTACGTCACCGTGCCCAAGGATATGGCCACACAGCCTCGGCGACGGAGCACGGGAGCGGCGTCGGTGTGTGGCGGTGCGTGGGCACCCGCCTGCTTGATGCCATCACACCGGCCATCGAGCGCTAACTTGATGCCATCACACACCGGCCAGAGGATACAGGTACACGCAGGCACACGTATGCAACAGGACCCGTCTATAGGGCATACTACGTACTGTACTGCAGCCGCTCATGTACTGCAGCCGAAGCCGACGTGCATGCATGCATGCATGGACATACAGTGAACCATTTTAAAAGTTCATGTACCAAAAATGCAGTTTCAAAGTTAATGGATCTAGATGACACAAAACGAAAGTTAATGGACCAAAAAATGCAGTTTCAAAGTTGATAAACTTAGATGACACTTCACCGAAAGTTAATGGACCCCCGGTGTATTTTACTCTTAAATAAATATTAATGACACTACTGGACTGCATTTGCAATTAGGTTCACTAAAATAGCAATTTGAGCAGCAGAAATTTACTTCATTGACACCAGAAAGTATAAAAGTAGCTTACCGTGACATAGCATTGAGTAATATAGGACCGAGATCCTGTCTTCTGCTGGTATTTTACTAGCCCTCGGGTATCCTTAGCTTTCAAACATTTTTCCTATGGAAGGCAAACATTAATGGGAGAGGTGGTTCTTTTTTTAAGTCAATATTTGTGAGAGATATTTAGGAAGGATACCTTGTGCTTTGGGGTAGACCACATGTACACAAGTGCTCTCCACTGCTCATCCGTCATAGTGCCCAATGGTGAAGTGGTTCTCACTTGGTTAGCTGGGATGCCATTAAAGTATTTCTTCTTCAACAAGTATCTCATATTCCGCTGTCCTTTTTTGAGCAAATTAACGCATGCATATTCCACTGCTTTCTTATTGCTTGGGTCAATAGAGAAATGACTCTGGACAAGTGTCGGTGTTTTACCACCGACAACCCGCCATGGGAGTACCCGGGGCGGTGATTTGTTCGGAGGGGTATCGGCATATGCGGAACTCGACGGTGAACGCAAGAGACAGTTGATTTATCCTGGTTCAGGCCCTCGTTTGTTGATCGAGTAATAGTCCTACGTCCAGTCGGCGTTAGCCTTGCGTTGGATTGATTGTGAGTCGTACAATTGTTGTGTTGTGTCCAAGTTGTCCTCTCTAGGATCCTGCCCTCATTTATATAGTTAGAAGGTCAGAATACTAGTCGGTTTATAATGAGAGTTCCTAGTAGGATTACAGAATAATACTACTACTAGGATTACATGAAAGGAAACCTAGTTAGACTAGATTCTCTCTTCCTTGCGAGGGGTATCCCGTGGGTCCCGCATCGACAAGCCCCCGAGCACTTCATGGTTGAGCTCTGGAAGCCTCATCTTGTTCCTTCAGGTCTTGCCGAGTAGAAACAAGCGTTGTCCGAGTACTTTCTTGAGTGAAACCATGTACCGCTTTCTAGGATCTTCGAGCGCTGTGTGCCTTTTTGAAGAAAAAAGCGTATCCAGCTGGGTGTAGCCCCAGAGCCTCTTGCTATTTGGAACAAGTAGCTGGAGGGTCATGTCCTGGAGTTGTTCTTTTCCTTCGTCGGAGAGTAGCCGAGTATACCCGGGTTCTTTTATAAAAAGAACTTGGATATATCGTGAGTTCTTGAAGTGGTGTGTCTTGAATAAGTCTTCTTGGTGACGTGCGCTTTTTGAAGAAAAAGTGCACTCACTGAGTGTAGCCCCCGAGCCTCTTGCTATTTGGATCAAGGAGCTGGAGGGTCTTGAATCTTATGTTGTTTGAAAATTGCAGTCTTGAGGAAGCCTTTCGAGTGATGTGCGCTTTTTTTGAAGAAAAATGCACTCACTGAGTGTAGCCCCCGAGCCTCTTGCTGTTTGGAACAAAGAGTTGGAGGGTCTTGAGTCTAATTTGTTTGAGGAACTGAAGTCTTCCCCTGTTGCAGTCTCTGAGCATTTATCCGGGTTCCTTGATTCAAAAAGAACTCGGATGCATTGTCTTGTCGTATTCTCTGGTAGTCTGCTATTGTCAGACGTTGGGTCTGCTGCTTCCAAATGTAGAGTCTGTTGCTTTCAGAGGTGGTTGTATGGTGGTTGTTGAGTGTAAATGCCTTTTGTTCACGGGTTGTACAGTGTTGGTATATTCTCCCGTATATGCTTGTTGTCAAGTACTGTACCTTCAGGCCTGAGTTCTTTCTCATTGAATTCTGTCTTTTCACCGTGTCCTTTGTTAGTTTCGCTAGTGCTCTCGGTCTATGTGCACCGCTTCTTTGGTCTATAAATACCCTCTTGTGTGCTGTCTTGCTTCACCAAGTATTTTGTCGTGTGGTCTGAAATCTCTGTAGCCATGAATATGATGGTTTGTGAAGTAGAGCAGCCCCCGGGGTTTTTTTGTAGTTCTTGTACATGTTGTTGTAGCTGGAGGGAGTCTTGTGATAGGGATTAGAGGTAGACTAATCCCACGGTGGTACTGCTCTAGGAAGTACGTGACGGTAGTTGGAGGAAGTCTTGTGATGTGGAATACGTTCCTTCAATTCCACAGTTCTGGGTTGATCTTTGCCGCCTGTCCTTAGACTGTCTGGTGCAGATCAACACCATATCCGGTATCACATCGGACTTAGGTAGACAGATGCCTGCAAGCTCCTCTTGTTCCACGTTGTCCCACTGTGCCGTTGATTTCCGCCTTGGATGCACTGCGTCCGTCCTTTGAAGAAAATAGTGTAGCCGAGTGCGGTTTGTTCTACCGGGTAGCAATTTGGGACACGTAGTCGTTCCAGAGCCTAGCTGTGTCCGGGTTCCTCTTTGCTACCTTGACTGTTGTAGTACCAAGTTCATTGGGTCTTGTAAGATGTGTAATCTTCTATTTTTTAAAGCCACTTGTAATGGAAAGAAATCTTGTCTTCTGAGTTGTCATTCATTTTTCTGCTGTAATCCTGGTTGTTCATGAGATTCCCAAGTTCTTTCAATAAGAACCGGGTTCTTTTGTTCCTTGTGAGGTGACCCTTCGTTGCTTCATGGCTGGTGAGTTCTTTTTGTAGCAATATGATAACTCTGCTGTTTTGTTGGATGGATAAGTCCGAAATCTACCCGTTGAACTGTACCGTTATATGAATTTGTGCCTCCCGTCATTTTAGCTGTGTCAGTTATGGTGGGAGATGGACCGTTGTATTCTCATGCGTTGTTTAAACGGGCCCTGTGGGCCATGTTTTTACAGCTGTAAAATCTATTTAAAGGCCTTTCTCCTCTTTTTCTTTGATACCTTGCCTTTGCCTTAAAAACCCTAGCCTTCAGAAATCCACCGCCGCCATTGTCGCCGTCACCTGAGCGCCGCCGTCGTAGCCTTGTCTTTCCCTAGAGCCTTCTTGCTTCCGCTAGTTCATGGGTAGGAAGAAGACTGCAAGCAAGTCCTAGGCTGCCTTCGTGGACGAGGAGTCATCACTTTCTCTGATTGAGAACCAAGAGTTCGTGGCCATGAGGGCTGCCCAGAAGGTTTGGTCGGCTCCAACAACAACCGAAGACCAGCTTCGCGAGCTTATCAGTGATGGCTTGATTCAGAGCAAGGACATTGCTGAATGGAGAGCTCTGGGCGAGCATCGGGTTCCTGCTCCGGGTCCTGGTGAGATCATCCTTTTTGTCTCTTTCATGCGTGCCGGTCTTTGCCTTCCTACTTCTGCCTTCCTTCATCGGTTTCTCAATTACTTTGGGGTTAGCTTGAACCATCTTGCTCCCAACGCCGTCCTTCACCCGTCTTTGTTTCTTGAATTCCCCTTCTCTTTCTCTCTTTGTTCATCTTTGTGAAACTTTCCTTTGAAGTGTTCTTGGTTCTCAATTTCTCCAGGTCTTAAGAGTAAGTTCTTTGACTATGACCTGGTTGAAACCTCAACCGAGCTAACGAAGACACTAGTGTTCTTGGTGGTCTGGATCTGGTTTGGTTAATGGTCTGGGATAAGAGTAAGTTCTTTGACTATGACAATCGTTGAGCCTTTTCTTGATAGGATAGCATGTTGAAACAAAGCAGGGCTTGACGGCTTTGGTATTGTCTCGAGCTTTTTATGCCACCAAGGAGCGAGATCCCTTCGAGTACTCTAGGGTTGAAGATCCTTCACATGGTAGATCTTGAGTTCCCAAGGAGGTTGGCATTTTAAGGTGTTGACCGATGGGATAAGAACCCGCCTCCCAATTTGTAAGCGCTTTCTCTTCGTATGCGGGTACTTTACGTGGTGTATTTATTTTTGCAGCAATCTTGTTGTTTTATTCTTCTCTTCTTTGTCCCACTTTTCTGGTCCCTAGGATAATGACCATGGGATAAGAACCCCGTGTGACGACGGTGAGGGCTTGACCTTTTCTTGATAGGATATTGTCAAAATGAGGGAGCTTTGGTATTGTCTCGAGCTTTCTTCATCGCCGCGTTCAGCCTCTGAAGGAGCGAGAGCACCTTGGCTTCGAGTACTCTAGGGTTGAAGATCCTTCGTGCATGGTCCCAGCCCTTGAGTTGACCGACAAGGAGGTACTCGAGCATTTCCAGAAGGTGTTGAAAGGAGCAAGCGTTGTCCCGCTTACTGTCTCGAGTTCTCTACCAGCAACCCGCCTCCAGCTGTAAGCCGCTTTCTCTTCGTGTGGGTACTTTTTGTATTTCTTTTGCTGTATTTATTTTTGCTTAATTTTTCTTGTCTTGTTGTTTTATTCTTTTCATAGGAATTGGGGCGCAACTTTGTTGACCCTATCCCTCTTGATGTCCTCCCTGCCGTGGTGAATACTGGGGAGAACCTTGCTGGGGCTTCTGTAACTAGTAAGCTCCCAATCACCACAGTATTTCCTGGAGTTTCTTCCGGACTTGTTGATGTATATGAAGAATATGTTCCTCGTCCAGTCCCTCGAGGTCCTCATAGCGTCTCAAAGAGGGGGCGAGCGGATGGTTCTTCATCTAGTTTACCTTCTTCCAAGAAGTCTCGCCAGCCAAGTACTCATCCAGGTACTCTAGTTGTAGCTAGCATGCTCTTAGGTGAGCATATTAATACACTCTGTTCCTTTGTCTTCTTGTTTTTGTCTTGAACCGAGTACTTTCGTTCCTTTTTCAGCTGGCGCTTTGGTGGCCTTGGTCGAGACTGAAGAAGAAGAGGACGATGATGTGCCCCTTATGCGGCGGTGAGTTGTTTTCTTATTTCCCTGCACTTGAAACCTTCTTTTTGTTTTGACTTTGGTCTTGATCTTCTTGTAGTAAACGGTCATCGGGTATGAGCTCTTCCGAGCCTCCTGCACCGGGTTCTTCTATAGCTCCGGTACCGAGTTCTTCCGAGGCTCTAGTACCGGCTATACCGCTCCTGCCGCCGAGTGGAGGGGACGTTTTTGCTGCCGTGGTTCCTCCTGCGAGGTCTTCTTTTTGTTTTACGAAGAAGAAGATAGCTGGGTGAGTAATTCTGGTTTCGTCTCTTTGATTTTGTTCTGCTTTTTTCTCTTGTACTCATTGGCGAGTTT